CTCGGGATGCTTGTCTGTTCATAAGGTGAAAAGCACACGTCTTGTTTTAGATGGATGAGAAATCAGTTGGTTTTACCTGTGACAGGCAGTAAGAGCACCTAAAGCTTCAGGGAGCTTCTGTTCCACCATTTCAAAGCTCCCTGCTTGAGCAGTGATGGCATGATCATCAGCATAGATGAAATCTCTGTCCCTACTGACAGTGGCTGATCATTTGTGTCAATGTTAAACATTTAACCCCATCAATCAAAACGCTGTATGTTTTCTATGCTGTGCATCACAAAATCCTAGAGTTGGGAGGCACTCCAAGGGCCGTCCAGTCCAACCCCCTTCTGCCATACAGGGAGACACAATCAAAGCCCTCCCAACAGATGGCCATCCACCCTCTATTCAAAAGCCTCCAAGGAAGAAAGGAATGGAAACCTGGGAAATGTCATTTCACAAGAGTTGGGAGAGACCTCTAAAGGCCATCTAGTCCAACCTTCTACTGGCTCCATGCAGGGAAAGCACAATCAAAGCACTCCCAACAGATGGCCATCCACCCTCTATTCAAAAGCCTCCAAACACAAAGAACGGCAAATCCCGAAATTACGCCGGTGTGTTTGTTTGCTCTTGCAAAACCCAACACCATCCTTGCTGGGATTGCAACCTGATGGCTCCCATTTCGCGCCTTAAGTTCGGAGCCTCAGTGAGGAAGTTGCGCCAATGTATTAATAGCAAAGCGCCCAGATGCCTGTTTGCGCATGGAGGGCGCAAGAGGTGCCATGTGTTAAAATGGGAATGGCAGAACGGCGTGAACTCCTCTGACCTGATTTGATTTGGCCTAATCGAGAAGAGGGTGGAAGATATGAAATAGAGATGGGTTTCTTTTTCCCGGGACGCGAGCATAATAATGACTAAATCTCCGTGGGAAGAAGAGCGGACGCGCATTGGACCGGATCAAGGCGACGATGCGACAATTGGTCATAATGACCGGACACTGTCTCTTTTACGCTCTGCAGTTTTGTATTAAGACTCAATTAAAATCCATCACATCAAGTATGATCTTCCTAAGAAGAGTTAAATACTCTTCTCCTTAGTGGTAAATATCCACGAGTATTCATGCAAAGCAATTAGACTTCTCAGTTGTTAGACTGATATACCTGGCGATCTCTCTGAACTCTTAGGGACGAAGATATGCCATTGCACCAATGCTCAAGTCCCATCACATCAAGTATGATCTTCCTAAGAAGAGTTAAATACTCTTCTCCTTCATGGTAAATATCCACGAGTATTCCTGCAAAGCAATTGGGCTTCTCAGTTGTTAGACTGATATACCTGGTGATCTCTCTGAACTCTTAGGGACGAAAATATGCCATTGCACCAATGCTCAAGTCCCATCACATCAAGTATGATCTTCCTAAGAAGAGTTAAATACTCTTCTCCTTCATGGTAAATATCCACGAGTATTCCTGCAAAGCAATTGGGCTTCTCAGTTGTTAGACTGATACACCTGGTGATCTCTCTGAACTCTTAGGGACGAAAATATGCCATTGCACCAATGCTCGTCCCATCACAAGAAGTATGATCTTTCTAAGAAGAGTTAAATACTCTTCTCCTTCATAGTAAATATCCACGAGTATTCATGCAAAGCAATTAGACTTCTCAGTTGTTAGACTGATATACCTGGCGATCTCTCTGAACTGTCAGGGACGAAGATATGCCATTGCACCAATGCTCAAGCCCCATCACATCAAGTATGATCTTCCTAAGAAGAGTTAAATACTCTTCTCCTTAGTGGTAAATATCCACGAATATTCATGCAAAGCAATTAGGCTTCTCAGTTGTTAGACTGATATACCTGGTGATCTCTCTGAACGCTTAGGGACGAAAATATGCCATTGCACCAATGCTCAAGTCCCATCACATCGAATGGCTTGATCCTGGACGTGATGGGACTTGATAATAATAATAATAATAATAATAATAATAATAATGTTGTTGCTGTTGTTGTTGCATCAATGCTCAAGTCCCATCACATCAAATGGCTTGATCTTGGACGTGATGGGACGTGATAATAATACTAATACTAGTAATAATAATAATAATAATAATGTTGTTGTTGTTGTTGTTTTTGTTGCACCAATGCTCAAGTCCCATCACATCGAATGGCTTGATCCTGGACGTGATGGGACTTGATAATAATACTAATAATAATAATAATAATAATAATAATGTTGTTGTTGTTTTTGTTGCATCAATGCTCAAGTCCCATCACATCAAATGGCTCGATCCTGGACGTGATGGGACTTGATAATAATAATAATAATGTTGTTGTTGTTGTTGTTGTTGTTGCACCAACGCTCAAGTCCCATCACATCGAATGGCTTGATTCTGGACGTGATGGGACTTGATAATAATACTAATAATAATAATAATAATAATATTGTTGTTGTTGTGAAGTTGGAGCCACAAGGAGAGGCAGATAGATGTTGTTGTTGTTTTTGCTTTTGTTGTGAAGCTCAAGCTACAAGGAGAGGCAGATAATAACGTTGTTCTTGTTGTTGTTGTTGCGGAGTTGGAGCCTCAAGGAGAGGCAGATAATAACGTTGTTGTTGTTGTTGTTGAGGAGTTGGAGCCACAAGGAGAATCAGATAATAACGTTGTTCTTGTTGTTGTTGTTGTTGCTGTTGTTGTTGTTGCGGAGTTGGAGCCACAAGGAGAGGCAGATAATAATGTTGTTGCTGTTGTTGTTGTTGCGGAGTTGGAGCCATAAGAAGAGGCGGATAATAACGTTGTTCTTGTTGTTGCTGTTGTTGCAGAGTTGGAGCCATAAGAAGAGGCAGATAATAATGTTGCTCTTGTTGTTGATGATGTTGTTGTTATTGTTGTTGTGGTGGGACTTGAGTATTCCTTTCACCCAAAATAGGACCTTTAAGTGATCCTAACCTTTTGGGAAAACTAGGAATTCCCTTTTGGAGATTAATTGGCATATATTCACACAATTTGGAATCATCATGACCTTTTTTTTTGTAAAGTATGATCTTCCTAAGAAGAGTTAAATACTCTTCTCCTTTGTGGTAAATATTCACTAGTATCCCTGCAAAGGAATTGGCTTTTCAGTTGTTAGACTGATATACCTGGTGATCTCTCTGAACTGTCAGGGACGAAGATATGCCGTTGCACCAATGCTCAAGTCCCATCACATTGAATGGCTTGATCCTGGACGTCATTCCTTTCACCCAAAATAGGACTTAGAAGCAATTAGGCTTCTCGGTTGTTAGACTGATCGCTTAGGCGATCCCTCGTTGTCCGAGTAGGGTTGTCTTCCAAGATCGGTGTACTGGTGGTGGGTCCGTAGGTGGTTGTGGACCCTATTCTTGATCTGCATGTTCTCCTGCAGTGGGCACGTTTCTCTCTTTCGCCCTCCATTCGTGCATCTTCCAATTCTGCAGCACTGCTGGTCACAGCTGACCTCCAACTGGAGCGCTCAAAGGCCAGGGCTTCCCAGTTCTCAGTGTCTATGCCAGAGATTTTAAGGTTGGCTTTGAGCCCATCTTTCAATCTCTTTTCCTGCCCGCCAACATTCCGTTCTCCGTTTCCCCAGACTCCACCAGTGTTCCCATTTGGGCATATTGAGTATCAGTGCCAAGTTTGGTCCAGATCCATCATTGTTTGAGTCCACAGTGCTCTCCTCATGTAGATGAACTACAATTCCCAAACTCAAGGTCCATGCCCACCAAACCCTTCCAGTGTTTTCTCTTGGTTGTGAGAGTGTGCCAAGTCTAGTTCAATTCCATCGTTGGAGGAGTTGAGAATACTCTGGTTGTAGGTGAACTATAAATCCCAGCAACTACAACTCCCAATTGTCAAGGACACATGCATGAGCGAGGGAGAGCGTGTGAAGCTGGAGAGAGGCTTGTGAAAGTGAGTCCCTTCAAGGCTTGAGGGTTCTGTGTGGGAAGTTTGGCCCAATTCTATCATTGGCGGAGTTCAGAATGCTCTTTGATTGTAGGTGAACTATAAATCCCAGCAACTACAACTCCAAGATGTCAAGGTCTATTTCCCTCAAATTCTACCAGTGTTCACATTTGAGCATCTTGAGTCTTCGTGCCAAGTTTGGTTCAGATCCATCATTGAGTCCACATTTGTCTCAGGATGTAGGTGAACTACAACTCCCAAATTCAAGGTCAATGCCTACCAAACACTTCCAGTATTTTCTGCTGGTTATGGGATCTCTGTGTGCCAAGTTTGGTTGAATTACATCGCTGGTGGAGTTCAGAATGCTCTTTGGTTGTAGGTGAACTATAAATCCCAGCAACTACAACTCCCAACTGTCAAGGACACATGCATGGGTGAGGGAGAGCGTGCGAGGCTGGGGAGAGGCTCGTGAAAGTGAGTCCCTTTAAGGCTTGAGGATTCTGTGTGAGAAGTTTGGTCCAATTCTATCATTTGTGGGGTTCAGAATGCTCTTTGATTGTAGGTGAACTATAAATCGCAGCAACTACAACTCCCAAATGTCAAGGTCTATTTCCCCCAAACTCCACCTGTGTTCACATTTGATCACCTTGAGTCTTTCTGTGTGGGAAGTTTGGCCCAATTCTATCATTTGTGGGGTTCAGAATGCTCTTTGATTGTAGGTGAACTATAAATCCCAGCAACTACAACTCCCAAATGTCAAGGTCTATTTCCCCCAAACTCCACCAGTGTTCACATTTGATTATCTTAAGTCTTCGTGCCAAGTTTGGTTCAGATCCATCATTGAGTCCACAGTGTTCTCAGGATGTAGGTGAACTACAACTCCCAAACTCAAGATCAGTGCCCACCCTTCTTTGCCCTAGACTTCATGGAGGCCTCATGGAGATCTTACTTTTGCAGGTTTGACTCTTCACATATGTGTTTAATATAGGAATCGCAAGGTCCAAATGCAACAACTGTGGGATGTTGCATTTGGAGGATACTCGAGATGCTTAGCGAGAACACTTTTGTTTGTGTGATGGTTTGTGTTTGTGTTCCGTTCCCAGGGAAGCCTTTCATTCCAAAGAACCCAAAGAGAGAAATCCCCAAAGAAGAGCAAATCACTCTGGAACCCGAACTGGAAGAAGCCCTCCAGAATGCGACCGACGCGGAAATGTGCGACATCGCAGGTAAAAAGGGAGATTTTGGGGGAAAATCTTAATCTTTCTGGTAAGGCCCATGTCTCCTTCCTTCCTTCTCTCTCAACCCCTCCTTCTTTCCCCTCTTTCCTTTCCTTCTCTTTCTCCTTCTGTCCCTCTTCTCCCTTCCCTTCCTCTCTCAATCCCTCTTCCCTCTCCTTCCTTCCTTTCATTCATCCTTCTCTCTCAATTACCAGCTCTTTTCTTCCACCTCTTCGATCTCCTCCTCCCTCCCTCCTGTTGTTCTCTTTCTCTTCTGTCTCTTATCTCTCAATCCTGCCTTTCTCTTTCTCCTTCCTTTTCTCTCAATCCCTTCTTCCTATTTCCCTCCCTCCTTCCACCTCTCAGTCTCTCCTTCCTTCCTTCTTTCCTTTTCTGTTTTCTCCTTCCTCCACACCTTTCTTTCTTCCCTTCCATCTCTCAATCTCTCTTCTTCCTTCCTTCCTTCCTTCCGTCCTTCCTTCCTTCCTTCCTTCCTTCCTTCCTTCCTTCCTTCCTTCTCCTTCTCTAAGTCCCTCCCCCCTTCCTTCCTCTGTTTTCTCCTTCCTTCCACCTTTCCTTTCTCCTTCCCCTCTCCTTCCTTTCCTTCCTTCCTTCCTTCCTTCCTTCTTCCTTCCTTCCTTCTTTCCTTCCTTCCCTTCTCTTCCCTCCCCCCTTCCTCCTTCCTCCCTTTTCTCCTTCCTCTCCCCTTTCCTTCTTTCTCCCCCTCTCCTCTCTCTTCTTCCTTCCTTCTAAGACCTTACTTCTTTCCCTCCCTCCTTCCTTCCTTCTCCTTCTCTCAGTCCCTCCCTCATTCCTTCCTCCCTTCCTTCTTTTTCTGTTTTCTTCTTTCTCCTTACCTTTTTTCTTCCTTCCCACCTCTCAATCTCTCTCCTTCCTTCCTTCTTTCCTTCCTTCCTTCTCTCAATCCCCCCCTCCCTCCCTTCCTTCTTCTCTCAGTTTTCTCCTTCCTCCACACCTTTCTTTCTTCTCTCCCACCTCCCTCCCACCTCTTAATCCTCCCTCCCTCCCTCCTTTCCTTCCTTCCTTCTTTCTCTCAGTCCCTCCCTCCCTCCTTCCTTTTCTCTCAGTTTTCTCCTTCCTCGTTACATTTCTTTCTTCCCTCCCACCTCTCAATCTCTATCCTTCCTTCCTTCCTTCTCTCAGTCCCTCCTTCCTTCCTTTATTCCCTCCCTCCTTCTAGCTCTCTCAATTGCTTCTCCTCCTTTCTTTGTTTTTCTCCCTTCTCTCTCTCTCTTCCTTCCTTCTCTCTCCCTTCTCTCTTCCTTCCCCTTCCTTCTCTCCCTCCTTCACCTTCTCTTCCTCTCCTTGCTTCCTCCTCTCTTAATCTTTCCTTCCTTCCTTCTCTTACCCTTCTCTCCTTCCTCCTTTCTTCCCTCTCCTTTCTTTCCCCTCCCTCCTTCACCTCTTTCTCTCTCTCTTCCTTCCCTTCCTTCCTTCTCTCCTTCCTTCTTTCCTCCCTTCCCTTCCTCCCTTCCCTTCTCATCCTTCCTTCCTTCTTTCCCTCCCTCCTTCCACCTCTTCTCTCCTTCCTTCCTTTTCCCATCTCTGAATCTCTCTCCTCCTTCCTTCCTTCCTTCCTTCCTTCCTTCTTTCTCCTTCCTTCCCTCCTCCATCCCTTCTCATACCTTCCTTCTTTCTTTCCCCTCCCTCCTTCCACCTCTTAATCTCTCTCTCTTCCTTCCTTCTCTCAATCTCTTTCCTTCCTTCTTTCTCCTTCCTTCCTTCCTTCCTTCCTCCCTTCCCAATCCCTTCTCATACCTTCCTTCGTTCCTTCCTTCCTTCTCTTAATCTCTCTCCTTCCTTCCTCTTTCTCCTTCCTTCCTTCCCTCCCTCAATCCCTTCTCGTACCTTCCTACCTTTCTTTCTTCCTTCTTTCTTTCCCCTCCCTCCTTCCACCTCTTAATCTCTCTCTCTCTCTCCTTCCTTCCTTCTCTCAAACTCTCCTTCCTTCCTTCTTTCTCCTTCCTTCCTTTCCTCCCTCAATCCCTTCTCATACCTTCCTTCCTTCCCCTCCCTCCTTCCACCTCTTAATCTCAATCCCCTTCCTTCCTTTCTTCTCCTTCCTTCCTTCCCTCAATCCTTTCTCATGCCTTCCTACCTTTCTTCCTTCTTTCTCAATCCTTCCTTCCTTCTCTCAATCCCTTCTCTCTCTTTCCTCTCTTCCTTCCTTCCCTCAATCCCTTCTTTTTCCTCTCTAGCTTCCTTCCACCTCTCTCAGTCTTTCCTTCCTTCCTTTTTGCTAAGGTTCCCTGTAACAAACAGGAGAAGCAAACACATTTCATAGAAAGCTGGCAAATAGAAATAACTGTCTGTACCCATTTGACCCAGTGGTGGGGAAAAGATTGGTGACCCCCTCCTCTTCTCCCCATATGCCTGCCCCACCAATTTTTATTGCCCTGGCGGCTCCCTGGCAGGTGTAAATGGATAGGGGCGGAGAAGGCAGCCCGGGGTGTCTGATTTGAGTCTGGTCTTGGCGCCCGACCAGGGGCCGCCCCGGCCTGCGAGGTGCTGAGCTTTGGGAATCGGAGAAGGATGCGGCACGGATGGGCCGAGAGGCGCCCTGACATCCTCTGGCCTTGCAAGCGCAGGAGGAAGCCAGAGAAATAATGTGGCACAGAAAGAGCATGGATGTTGCTTTGGTGACCTCTCCCGTCCCTTTTGCCTTGCAGCCATCCTGGGCATGTACACCCTCATGAGCAACAAGCAGTACTACGATGCCATTTGCAGCGGCAACATCACAAACACTGAAGGCATCAACAGTGAGTGCGCGCCCGCCTCCCCTTCTGTCCTATATTCCAAGATACTCGTATGTATACAATCCGAACATTGGGAGGGACCCCAAGGGCCATCCAGTCCAACCCTGGACTTCCACAACCTCCTGACAGATGGCCACCCAGCCTCTGTTTTGAGACCACCAACAAAGTCTAACATCCAATGAGTCCAATCCCGGATTTCCACAACCAAAGCCCTCCTGACTGATGGCCATTCAGCCTCCAACAAGTATAACATCCAATGAGTCCAACCTTGGACTTCCACAACCAAAGCCCTTCTGACAGATGGTCACCCAGCCTCTGTTTTGAGGTCTCCAACAAGTGTAACATACAATGAGTCCAATCCTGGCCATTCAGCCTCTGTTTTGAGACCTCCAACAAGTATAACATCCAACGAGTCCAATCCTGGACTTCCACAACCAAAGCCCTCCTGACAGATGGCCATTCAGCCTCTGTTTTGAGACCTCCAACATGTGTAACCTCCAACGAGTCCAACTCTGGACTTCCACAACCAAAGCCCTCCCGACAGATGGCCATTCAATAAGTCTAACATCCAATGAGTCCAATCCTGGACTTCCACTACTAAAGCCCTCCTGACAGATGGCCATCCAGCCTCTGTTTTGAGGCCTCCCACAAGTCTAACATCCAACGAGTCCAATCCTGGACTTCCACAACCAAAGCTCTCCCGACAAATGGCCACCCAGCCTCTGTTTTGAGACCTCCAACAAGTGTAGCATCCAATGAGTCCAACTCTGGACTTCCACAACCAAAGCCCTCCTGACAGATGGCCACCCATCCTGTTTTGAGACCTCCAACAAGTCTAACATCCAACGAGTCTAACCCCGGACTTCCACAACCAAAGCCCTCCTGACAGATGGCCATTCAGCCTCTGTTTTGGGACCTCCAACAAGTGTAGCATCCAACGAGTCCAACTCTGGACTTCCACAACCAAAGCCCTCCTGCCAGATGGCCACCCATCCTTTGTTTTGAGGCCTCCAACAAGTCTAACATCCAACGAGTCCAACCTCGGACTTCCACAACCAAAGCCCTCCTGACAGATGGCCATTCAGCCTCTGTTTTGGGACCTCTAACGAATGTAGCATCCAACGAGTCCAACTCTGGACTTCCACAACCAAAGCCCTCCTGACAGATGGCCATTCATCCTCTGTTTTGGGACCTCCAACAAGTCTAACATCCAACGAGTCCAACTCTGGACTTCCACAACCAAAGCCCTCCTGACAGATGGCCATTCAGTCTCTGTTTTGGGACCTCCAATAAGTGTAACATCCAACGAGACCAACTCTGGACTTCCACAACCAAAGCCCTCCTGACAGATGGCCACCCAGCCTCTGTTTTGAGACCTCCAACAAGTCTAACATCCAACGAGTCCAAACCCGGACTCCCACAACCAAAGCCCTCCTGACAGATGGCCATTCAGCCTCTGTTTTGAGACCTCCAACAAGTGTAACATCCAACGAGTCCAATCCTGGACTTCCACAACCAAAGCCCTCCCTATAGATGGCCATCCAGCCTCTGTTTTGAGACCTCCAACAAGTCTAACATCCAACGAGTCCAACCCCGGACTCCCACAACCAAAGCCCTCCTGACAGATGGCCATCCAGCCTCTGTTTTGGGACCTCCAACAAGTGTAGCATCCAACGAGTCCAACTCTGGACTTCCACAACCAAAGCCCTCCTGACATAGATGTGGGCAAAACGTCAGGAGAGAATGCTTCTGGAACATGGTCATACAGCCTGGAAAACTCACCGCAACCCAGTTATTCCGGCCATGAAAGCTTTCGACAACAACAACAACAATTTGTCATCTCTTTCAGGTGTGGTGCAGCCAGATAAGTACAAACCGGTCCCGGACGAGCCCCCAAATCCTACAAACGTGGAGGAGACTTTAGCCAAAATCCAGAACAATGACAAAGATGTCGAGGAGGTGAACCTTAATAACATTAAGGTTAGTGTCCCAAGTTTTTGGATGGAAGAACTGGATCTGTAGGGGGAGAAAGCCATGTTGGGGTAGTGTCCTAAGAGTTGGAAAAGCCCATCTAATCCAACTGCTTTGTGGACACAAATCAAAGTCAAACTAGTAAAAACTTGAACAGGAGTACTTGAACAGGAACATAGAAAACTTCCAGGATATTAAAATCCAAAAACCAAGGCTTGACTTGAACTCGGAGAACTCAGGCTTAGCTTCTCACTCTAACACAGTGTTGCCTGAACTGATCGTAAATTAAACAACTTTCCCGTGTTATCTCTCAGACCACATAATCTATTTTCAGCTCTTATTTGTAAATGAAGACTTTTGTTAATCTCATAGTTACAGGTCGTTTCTCCTGGGAACCCTCCTTATCACTCAGCTCTTCACTCGATTTCTTATCTGCTGTTGCTACTTCTGACTCCTCAGACTGGCCTTGAGGCCCTGCACTTTCCGAACCAGTTTTCTCACAGGGAGAAACATTATTTCCCAGATCTGAATTCCCCAGACTTGAGAGCCCATCATTCCCCCTTATCACTCAGCTCTTCACTCAATTCCTTATCTGCTGTTGCTACTTCTGACTCCTCAGACTGGCCTTGAGGCCCTGCACTTTCCAAACCAGTTTTCTCACAGGGAGAAACATTATTTCCCAGACCTGAATTCCCCAGATCATTTTGTGCCACAGGAAAGCCCACAATCCTCCCTAAATCATCAGTTAAACCATCAGTCTCTGGCTGATCTTACTTCTTTTCTGTAGGACATTCCCATTCAGACCCTGATAGAAATCTGTGAAGCCATGAAAACCAACACTCAGGTGAAGAAGCTCAGCCTGGTGGCAACTCGGAGTAACGACCCAGTGGCGCATGTAAGATTTTGGGGTGACCCCTTTGAGGACTTCCTCCTCCTCCATTTATCTCTTTAAGGAAGCCATATTGTTTATTTCCAATGGTTTCTTATTTTTATGGGTCCCCCCCAGGCTGTGGCTGAGATGCTGAAGGTGAACAAGACCCTCCAAACCCTCAATATAGAATCCAACTTCATCACCAGTGCTGGCATGATGGAGGTGATCAAGGCCATGAAGAGTAACACCATACTGTCCGAGCTTAAGGTGGACAACCAGGTGAGGTGCCCACCATTTTGTTGATGGGGGCTTTGAGATAGTTTTACTTGGGATGTAGGTTCAGCACCAGAAAAACCTGTCTCTGAGACAGCCATTATTGGTTCTTGCGCAGCTTTGGTCTTATACAATGAAGAACTAATAATAGTAACCTGTACAGCTTGGTATAATGCAACGCTACTGTTGATAGCTTATGCAGCTTAGATCTTACATGTTATAGAGCTATTGCTAGTAACCTGCGCAGCTTAGGTCTTGCATAATGTGCAGCTGCGCAGCTTTGGTCTTATATAATAAAGAGCTGATAATAGTAACCTGCACAGCTTTGTATAATGCAAAGCTACTGTTGATAACTTATGCAGCTTAGGTCTTGCATGTTATAGAGCTATTGCTAGTAACCTGCGCAGCTTAGGTCTTGCATAATGTGTAGCTGCGCAGGTTTGGTCTTATATCATGAAGAGCTGATAATAGTAACCTACACAACTTTATATAATGCAAAGCTACTGTTGGTAACTTACGCAGCTTAGGCCTTGCATAATGTAGAGCTGCGCAGCCTTGGTCTTATATAATGAAGTGCTGAGAAAAGTAATCTGCACAACTTTATATAATGGAGAGCTACTGTTGGTAACCTATGCAGCTTAGATCTTGCAGAATGCAGAGCTGTGCAGCTTTGCTATTATATAATGAAGAGCTTATAATAATAACTTGCACAGCTTTATATAATGGAGAGCTACTGTTTGTAACCGATGCAGCTCAGATCTTGCATGTTATAGAGCTATTGCTAGTAACTTGCGCAGCTTAGGTCTTGCATAATGTGCAGCAGCACAGCTTTGGTCTTATATAATGAAGAGCTAATAATAATAACCTGCACAGCTTGATATAATGCAAAGCTACAGTTGGTAACTTGTGCAGTTTAGGTCTTGCATAATGCAGAGCTGCGCAGCTTTGGTCTTATATAATGAAGAGCTGATAATAAGCACCTGCACAGCTTTATATAATGGAGAGCTACTGTTCGTACCCTATGCAGCTTAGATCTTGCATGTTATAGAGCTACTGCTAGTAACCTGTGCAGCTTAGGCCTTGCATAATGCAGAACTGCGCAGCTTTGCTCTTATATAATGAAGAACTGATAATAATAACCTGCACAGATTTATATAATGGAGAACTACTGTTCGTAACCTATGCAGCTTAGATCTTGCCTGTTATGGAGCTATTGCTAGTAACTTGCGCAGCTTAGGTTTTGCATAATGTGGAGCTACGCAGCTTTGCTCTTATACAATGAAGAGCTGATAATAATAACCTGCACAGCTTTATATAGTGGAGAGCTACTGTTCGTAACCTATGCAGCTTAGATCTTGCATGTTATAGAGCTATTGTTAGTAACCTGTGCAGCTTACGCCTCGCATAATGCAGAGCTGCGCAGCTTAGGTCTTGCATAATGTGCAGCTGCGCAGCCTTGGTCTTATATAATGAAGTGCTGGGAATAGTAATCTGCACAACTTTATATAATGGAGAGCTACTGTTGGTAACCTATGCAGCTTAGATCTTGCTTGTTATAGAGCTATTGCTAGTAAACTGTGCAGCTTAGGCCTTGCATAATGCATAGCTGCGCAGCTTTGGTCTTATATAATGAAGAACTGATAATAATAACCTGCACAGCTTGATATAATAGAGAGCTACTGTTTGTAACCTATGCAGCTTAGATCTTGCATGTTATAGAGCTATTGCTAGTAATCTGCGCAGCTTAGGCCCCACATAATGCAGAGCTGCGCAGCTTAGGCTTTGTGTAATGCAGAGCTGCGCAGCTTTGGTCTTAGATAAAGAAGAGCTGATAGTAGTAACCTGAACAGCTTTATATAATGCAAAGCTTTTGTTGGTAACCTATGCAGCTTAGATCTTGCATGTTATAGAGCTATTGCTAGTAACCTGTGCAGCTTATGCCTTGCATAATGCAGAGCTGCGCAGCTTAGGCCTTGCATAATGCAGAGCTACACAGCTTTGCTCTGATATAATGAAGAGCTGATAATAATAACCTGCACAGCTTTATATAATGGAGAGCTACTGTTCGTAACCTATGCAGCTTAGACCTTGCATGTTATAGAGCTATTGCTAGTAACCTGTGCAGCTTAGGCCTCGCATAGTGCAGAGCTGCACAGCTTAGACCTTGCATAATGCAGAGCTGCCAGCTCTGCTCTGATATAATGAAGAGCTGATAATAATAACCTGCACAGCTTTATATAATGGAGAGCTGTTCGTAACCTATGCAGCTTAGATCTTGCATAATGCAGAACTGCGCAGCTTTGCTCTTATATAATAAAGAACTGATAATAATAACCTGCACAGATTTATATAATGGAGAACTACTGTTCATACCCTATGCAGCTTAGATCTTGCATGTTATAGAGCTATTGCTAGTAACCTGTACAGTTTAGGCCTTGCATAATGCAGGGCTGCGCAGCCTTGGTCTTATAAAATGAAGAGCTGATAATAATAATCTGCACAGCTTTATATAATGCAAAACTACTGTTGGTAACTTATGCAGCTTAGATCTTTCATGTTATAAGGCTATTGCTAGTAACCTGCGCAGCTTAGGTGTTCCATACTTCAGCGCTACTTTTAGTAACCTGCGCAGCTTAGATCCTATATACCGTAAAGCTACTGTTAATAACCTATGCAGCTTAGGTTTTACATACCGCAGAACTACTGTTAGTGAACTGTGTACCTAAGGTCTTGCATGCTCTAAAGCTGCGCAGCGTAGGTCTTACGTATTGTCTCTTTCATGTCTCATCCTTCTCCTTCCTCCTCCTAGCGCCAGCGATTGGGAGACTCAGTGGAGATGGAAATGGCTGCCATGATTGAAAACTCTCCCTCCATTACCCGTTTCGGATATCACTTCACACAGCAGGGACCAAGGGCCAGGGCTTCCATCGCTATCACTAGGAACAACGAACTACGTGAGTGCCACATATTCAGGGGACCACGGGTGGGCACTCAGATCTTGAAGCTGATGTGAAAGTGTGATGGCTATATAACCATGTTATGAAAACACACTGCAGCACACTTTAAGGATGCCTGCCATAGATGTGGGCGAAACGTCAGAAGAGAATGCTTCTGGATCATGGCAACTCTGTTTTGATTTCCTTTGCAGGCCGCAAGCAGAAGAAGACATAATGGAGCCTCCCGCGACGCAATCCTGACTCCCTTTAGCTCCCGAATCCCTTTAACAACCCCTCGACCTTCCAAAGCTGGAGCCGGAAACAGCTGGTATCTTGTTGTTCCCCGTTCCCATCTCTCTGTTGCAATCTCAGGTTCTTTCTTTCTTTCCTCCTCCGAGAATGGAAGCGATCCCATCTTCCGATCATCACTGTAAATAAGGAGATGGATCCGACACCCTTTGCCTTCCTTCCCCCAGGGCCGAACTGGCTTTGTTCTTCGCTACGGACCAAAGGCAGTTGCAATCGTCCCGTCGTTCCTAGATAAGCTAATATTATTATTATTAAATTATTACGAGGCAACCGGCTCCTGGACATTTCCTGTGTTAGCATCCAGCAATCGATTTTCCTGCGTCGATTCGTCTCGATTCCTTGCAAACGAGAAACCGGCCCAACTTCTTCTTCCAGGATGGAAGAACGGATCCTATCGGCATCACGACTAATCGTGTTGTGATAATCATACGAGGGTTGAATGAAAAGGAATGCGTCCACCTTCTTCACTTGAGTTTGGATGGGAATATTTTAATAAATCAAACGTAGAAATAATCCTTAGAATGTGCTCTTTAACTACCACTATTCACTTTCCCACATAAACACCAGACAATCGGTAACATTTCTGCCAAAGATGAACAAGTTTTCTGAAGCCGTCACAGAAGAAGTCAACACTGTTTCCACAACTAGCGTCAGCATCCTGGATATCCATCGTGCACAGATCTTCCGATAGTCAAGCAAAGCAATAATGTGACCCACTATTCACTTTTCCATATAACCACCAGACAATTGGATACATTTCTGCCAACGATGAACAAGTTTTCTGAAGCTGTCACAGAAGAAGTCGACACTGTTTCCACAACTAGCGTCAGCATCCTGGATATCCATCGTGCACAGATCTTCCGATAGCCAAGCAAGCAATAATGTAATCCACTATTCACTTTTCCATATAACCACCAGACAATTGGATACATTTCTGCCAACGATGAACAAGTTTTCTGAAGCTGTCACAGAAGAAGTCGACACTGTTTCCACACTAGCGTCAGAATCCTGGATACCCATCGTGCACAGATCTTCCGATAGCCAAGCAAGCAATAATGTAATCCACTATTCACTTTTCCATATAACCACCAGACAATCGGATACATTTCTGCCAACGATGAACAAGTTTTCTGAAGCCGTCACAGAAGAAGTCGACACTCTGTTTCCGCAACCAGCGTCAGCATCCTGGATACCCATCGTGCACAGATCTTCCGATAGCCAAGCAAAGCAATAATGTGACCCACACATAAACACCAGACAATTGGATACATTTCTGCCAATGATGAACAAGTTTTCTGAAGCCGTCGCAGAAGAAGTCGACACTCTGTTTCCGCAACCAGCGTCTCATAGTTCTCTCAAAGTCTCCAACAGGAGCATAATAATGTCCCCGCAGATCTTCTTTCATTATCGGGAACAGATGGAAGTCAGACGGTGCAACATCTGGACTGTATGGAAGATGTCATATGGTGGTGAGATCCAGTCTCTGAAGTTTCAAGTCTGTGCGCTTTCATTTCAGGCGTCAGCATCCTGGGTACCCATCGTGCACAGATCTTCTGACAGCCAAGTAAAGCAATAATGTGACCCACACATAATCACCAGACAATTGGATACTTTTCTGCCAACAATGAACACTGTTCTCTCAAAGTCTCCACCAGAAGCATAACGATGTCCCCACAGATCTTCTTTCATTATTGGGAACAAATGGAAGTCAGACAGTGCTAAATTTGGACTGAATGGAGGATGCCGTATGGTGGTAAGATCCAGTCTCAGAAGTTTCAAGCCTGTGCGCTTTCATTTCAGGCGTCAGCATCCTGGGTACCCATCCTGGGTACCCATCGTGGATGGGAATATTTTAATAAATCAAAAGCTCTTTAACTACCATTATTCACTTTTCCACATAATCACAAGACAATCGGATACATTTCTGCCAATGATGAATAAGTTTTCTGAAGCCGTCGCAGAAGAGGTCGACACAACCGCAACCAGCATCTCACAGTTCTCCCAACGTCTTCATCAGAAGCATAATGATCTCCCGGTAGATCTTCTTTCATTATCGGGAACAGATGGAAGTCAGACGGTGCTAAATCTGGAGGATGCCTTACGGTGGTGAGATTCAATCTCTGATGTCTCTAGTATGTGCGCTTTCATTTCAGGTGTCAGCATCCTGGGTACCCACCGTGCACAGATCTTCTGACAGCCAAGCAAAACAATAATGTGACCCACACATAATCACCAGACAATTGGATATATTTCTGCCTATGATGAACAAGTTTTCTGAAGCCGTCGCAGAAGAAGTCGACACTGTTTCCGCAACCAGCATCTCACAGTTTTCTTATCCTGGGTACCCATCATGCACAGATCTTCTGATAGCCAAGCAAAGCAATGTGACCCACACGTTCTTGTGAAATGTCGACTATGCTTGAAATTGATCTCTGAGTGATACGTTTGTCCTGAATCAATCTGTCAACCTTTTGCTTGTGAAACTCAGTGGTTGCTGTCACAGGACGTCCAACTCTTTGTTTGTCACACAAGTCAGATGTTCCCACCTCAACATCTTTAAACTTATTTGCCCAACGATGCACAGTACTCTCATCAACACAACCATCATAAACAGCTTGCATTCCCTGATGAATCTCCTTTGGGGTGACACCTTCTGCTGTCAAGAATTCAATGACTGCATGTTGCTTAAGTCGCATTGACCGACCGTCTGCGCAGGGTTCCATACTTTGCACTTTAACAACACAACCGTTCAATGCTAAGGCTTCCCACCAAAATGGAACTGTAGAGGAGAGTCTACTGAACAAGCCAGTACCTGCTGCATACCAGTACTGCCATCTGTTGAGGAGTTACGAAGGTGGAGGCATTACTTTTCATTCAACCCTCGTAACATTTTGGGAGCACTCTATCTCAGGAAATCCTTACCACCGCTCTGCAAAATAAGGTCAACAACTTCCCGAGAGAGAGAATCGGAGGCAAATAAAAGCAAATGACCGTATCGAACGATGTTGCCTTAGCTCTTAATTCTCATTTAAACACCCCCCCCCCCCAAGATGCAATAATGATTTTTATTTATTTTTAGGCAGCAAATATATAATATTATATATATTATAATAATCCTAATACTACTACTACTACTGGCCTACGTATGAGTAGAAGTAATGGCAACGTCTTGCGTTCCCAAGAGCCAACAAACCTTCTTATTTTGACAACGGCGGATGCCAGCTGGCTTTCCCCCAGGGACCATGACTAATATTTTTCTTTTATGGGCGCAGCGATATTAGGAAGACATGTCAGACCGCCTTGGGGCATCATAAACACCATCTGCGAAGGGACGAAGGCTACAGCCAACGGTGTTCTGGCCAATGGCCATCACATTAAGAGGGAAACTAGTATTCCTTTCCTCGCCAGACCCCTATTATTATTATTATTATTATTATTATTATTATTATTATTATATACTATCTTGAGGACCCGGCCGTGCTTTGACTGTGCCTTCCTGCCTGGCAAAAGGGGGTTGGACTGGATGGCCCTTGGAGGTCCCTTCCGACTCCACGATTCTACAGTTCATAGGATGGATGGCTATCTGTTTGGAGGGCTTTGACTCTACAGAAGAGGGTTGGACTGGATGGCCCTTGGGGTTCCCTCACGACTATGATTCTACAATTCAGAGGTTGGAAGGCCATCTATTGGGAGGGCTTTGCCTGTGCAGAAGGGGGTTGAACTGGATGGCCCTTGGGATTCTGTAATTTTTCAGTTCAGAGGTTAGATGACCATCTGTCGGGAAGGCTTTGACTGTGCAGAGGTGGGTTGGACTGAATGACCTTTGGGGTTCCCTTCCATGATTCTACATCTCAGAGTCTGGATGGCCATCTGTTGGGAGGGCTCTGACTGTGCAGAAGGGGGTTGGACTGGATGACCCTTGGGGTTCCCTTCTGACTCTATGATTCTTCAATTCAGAGGTTGGATGGCCATCTGTCGGAAGAGTTTTAACTGTAAAGGGGATTGGACTAGATGGCCCTTGGAGTTTCCTTTCTATGATCCCACAACTGTGCAGAAGGGCTTTGGACTGGATAGCCCTTGGGTTTCTCTTCCATGATTCTACATCTCAGAGTCCAGATGGCCATCTGTCAGGAGGACTTTGACTGTGCAGAAGGGGGGTTGGATTAGATGACCCTTGGGGTTTCCTTCTGACTCTATAATTATACAATTCAGAGGTTGGATGGCCATCTGTCGGGAGGGCTCTGACTGTGCAGAAGGGGGGTTGGACTGGATGGCCCTTGGGTTTCCCTTCCATGATCCCACAACTCAAGAAGCTGGATGGCCATCTGTTGGGAAGGCTCTGACTGTGCAGAAGGGGGTTGGACTGGATGACCCTTGGAGTTCCCTTCCGACTCTATGATTCTTCAATTCAGAGCTTAGATGACCATCTGTTGGGACAGCTTTGACTGTGAAGAGGGTTGGACTAGATGGCCCTTGGAGTTCCCTTTCGACTCTTATGATCCCACAACTCAGAGTCTGGATGCCATCTGTCGGGAGGGCTTTGACTGTGCAGAAGGGGTTGGACTGGATGGGCCTTGGGGTTTCCCTCCGATCCTATGATTCTTCAATTCGGAGGTTAGATGACCATCTGTTGGGACAGCTTTGACTGTGAAGGGGGTTGGACTGGATGGGCCTTGGGGTTTCCCTCCGATCCTATGATTCTTCAATTCGGAGGTTAGATGACCATCTGTTGGGACAGCTTTGACAGTGAAGGGGGTTGGACTAGATGGCCCTTGGGGTTCCCTTTCGACTCTACGATCCCACAACTCAGAGGCTGGGTGGCCATCTGTTGGGAGAGCTTTGACTGTGAAGGGGGTTGGACTGGGTGGCCCTTGAGTTTCCCTTCCATGATTCTACAACTCAGAGTCTGGATGGCTATCTGTCAGGAGGGCTCTGACTTCAACAATAAGGGGGCTGGACTGGATGACCTTTGGGGATCCCTTCCAGCTGATAATAAATTATTATTAAATACACAATAAGATTAGTACGCAGCTAACAAGATCTCTATGTCCTAACTTTGTTGTGTATATAATAATAATAATAATAATAATAATAATAATAATAATAATATAATAAGGGGGCTGGACTGGATGACCTTTGGGGATCCCTTCCAGCTGGAGGGTTCTATAAGGAGCTGCCACATTGGAGAATTCTCCCAGCAGGTGGTGGACGTGGCTGGGCGGCGGGCGGGCAGGCGGGCGGGCGAGGAGCCCCTTCCCTTTGGTGTATTT